CCCACCGGGGGACACGTGCCAAGCCAGAACAAAGGGCCGCTCCAGTCAGCATCACTGAAGAAGGAAGTGAGCAAACAGCGAGGTGGCGGCCTCCGTGAACCGATGTCCAGTCCCAACTCTTCCGCAAATGAGTGGACACCTGGGCCAGCCACTACCCTCCCTCTGCCTCTGGCTCCTCCCCTGTGACTGGGTAACACATGCCCAACTCAGGAATTTGGAGGGGCCAAATACACCCAGTTCAGAGAACAGAGCCCGGTCTCGGTAAGTGGTGCCGTCGCTGTCACGGTGTCACTGCTCCGGACTCCTGCACTGTGTCACCGACGCACGGACTTGGGGTCAGCTCCACTGGGGTTGGGGGCCACAGGCCACGGCACAGCCACAGAAAAGGCGGAGAGCTGCCAGGCCTCACAGGGAACGGCATCAGCGTGAGAGTGTCGAGAAGCAGCCAAACCGAAATTCTTGAGCGGAAAGCCTTGGGCAGCTGACTGACTGTCCCTTGTCTGCCCCAGGCCACTGGCTGGTTCAGGGAGCAGCTGGACTGGACCTGACAGAGAGGCCTTGGGGCAGGGAGGCAGCCACACGCAGCAGGCTGACTCCTGGCTCCTGGCGATGGCTGGCGATTCCTGGGCCATGTAGGCTTTGCCCGAAAGCTCCCAGAAGGCAGTGAGATCTGCGTGCCCTCACAGTGCCGGGAAATAAAGACCCGCCTCGGAGGAGGCAGCCGGAGAGCCTGGCCTCACTAGATGGTCCGGTGGGACCTCAGAAGGAAGCGTGCGCAGCGAACTAGCGTCCCGGAGCAGAAGTCCTGCAGCTGGAGAGGACGGTAGGGACGGCTGGGCAAGGGGCAAGTGCCACGTGACAAACTCCCGCTTTCAACCTGCGTCTTCAGAAGAGGCTGAGATGGAGCCGGTGGNAAAATTACAGTTATAGAGTAGCAACGAAAATAATTTTATGGTTGGGGGTCACCACAACATGAGGAACTGTATTAAGGGGTCGCGGCATTAGGAAGATTGAGAACCGCTGTTCTAGAGGAAAACACCTTTGCAACCTGAGGCTGAGCAAAGGTTTCTCACTCAGGACACGGCAAGCACGAGCCATAAGGAATAAACTGGCCTCCTGCTCTTCAAAAGACACTATTAAGAGAATGAAAGACAAGTCACAGACTGGGACAAAATATTTGCAAATCATCTATCTGACAAAGGTCTTGTATACAGAATATATAAGCTCTCAAAATTTAATAAGAAAACAACCCAATAAAAATGGGCAAAACCTTTGAACAGACATTTCTCTAAAGAAAAAATGTGGATGGTAAAAACTTGTGTGAAAAGATGGCAAACTTCAATAGTGAATCAAGGAATTCCAAATTTTAAACATAATGACCCCCCCACACACACACACACACTCCTCTGGAAATGGTGACTCTAAAAGACTGGCCACACCTCCGGCTGGCAGGGACATGGGGGGTGGGGTGCTGGACCCACGCAGCACGAGTAGCGTGTGAAATGCACAGCCTTTGGAGAATGGTGGCAGTTTCCTCAAGTCCCACCGGCCCACCCCATGACCCAGCCATGCCACTCCTGTCCCCACACTGCCCTGTGGGGCTGTTCGCAGAGTGGTCCCTTCAGTGGCCCAAGTGGAGCATGTGCAGAGCAGCAGTTCGTCTGTGCCACGGAACACTGCTCAGCGGCAAGGGGGGGTGACACCCATGCAACCACAAGGGCGAACCTCGATTATGCCAGTGAAGTGAGCCAGACAGACAGCACACGCGGAGAACATCTGTACCACCTAGGAAGGACATGCAACCCACAGTCCCGAGGTCGCTAAGCCGTCGCCCAGGAAGGAGGAAGCTCGGGAGGTGGGATGGAGGGCAAGCAGGGTGTGAGGCCACACCCGTTGTTTCATCGTGCTGACGGCTTCGTGGGTGTCCTCAGAGGTCGGAACAGCCAAGCTGACTCTGAATGTGTCAGTTGCAGACCGTCAACACACCTCTGATGAGGAAGCTGGCACACGTGAAGCTCAGTCTGGTGGAGGTGTGTCTGGACACAGCCCAGCTCGCCTGGCAGGAGAGCCTGGAGCAGCGGTTAGAACAGAGCTCTGCAGACAAGCTGCTGGCCGCCTACCTGCAGAGCATGAGTGACTACACCCCCCTTGGCCTGGTAATGTCCGGGACGCTAGCTGGGCCCAAGCCCCATGTCCTGTCACTGTGTGCCTGGCATGAGGGCCAACCCGTGGGAACCCGAGGGCTGGAGTTCCCAGGCACACCCCCAGGGTTTCTGCAGGCAGCTGGGGGCCTCCAGGCCCTGTGAGGAAAGGCCTCATCTTGGGGGATCTAACTGGCTCATGAAAGTGGGGTGGCTTTGGGGGGATTGCCAACCATATGATAGCCCTCCTCCCCAAGTCCTGAGTTTGCTCTAGTGTCAGCACGTGAGAAAGGCCGTACAGTGAGTTACATTGTGTTAAAAAAATAAGCTCAACTTGCAAAATAAGTTGTTTTGAAGGAAACATATTCTGCCGTTTTAGACATTTTCTTAAGTTTCACACATTATGAATCAAATTGGATGTAACTATAAACAGATCAAAGGTAGTCCTATAATTGAACTTCATACGAACTCGTGTGTGTGTCGTTGAGCCCCAAGTTAAGGTTATATGAGCAAACTTTAATGGCCCCCCAACACCTAAGCCCTGGAGACCCTCCCCAATACCCGCTGGGTGTTTCTCAGACTTCCCGGGTATTGCCACTCCTGGGGCACTAGAGCTGGGTCTGGGGTCAGTGGAGCCGGGCCCATCGCGTTCTCAGCGGTGGGGGCGGGTCACGAAAGCACTGTGTTCCTGCAGGAATGGTTCACGCTGAAGCGGACCCTGGCCCACACGGCGCTGGCACAGCTGGGGAGCCTGCTGCCGCTCTGCGGCGGCTCCGCGGAGACCCGCGCGCGGCTCCTGGGCCTGGCGGGGAAGGCGCTCCACCTGCTGGCCACGCGCAGGGACCCTGTGCAGCCCTCGACCTGGCAGGAGAGCCTCGTGGTAAGCTACTTCTGGTTCCTCGGGCGGCGTCAAGTCCCCCGGGGCTGGGCGTGGGCTCTCAGCCCGGTGCCTCCTGCCCCTCCCTGCTGTGACGCACAGACCCAGGGCTCCGGAGCCAAAGACCCGTCAGGGTGGCTTTTCCTGCAGACAGACCTGCACGGGCCCCACGGGGCTGGTGTGTGCGTTTGTCCCCCAGACCCCGGGGCGGCCCCTGACTCACTGGGTGCCCCGAGAGCTGCTCCCCGCCCTGCTGTCCCGTCAGCCTCCGCCCTCCGCCCGGGGCCCTATGACCAACGACACCCACAGGCACTCCGGGGGGCGGGCGTTGTCCAGCCCACGAATGCGTGACTGGTGGCACGTGGTCCCTAGGCGGGTGCTGAGCTGAGCAGTCTCAAGTGTCTGGAGATCGTCCAAGATGAGGGTGACCAGGAGGAGCACTACGGCAGCCTGCCGGCCTGCAGGGCAGCACCGGAGGAGCAGCGCAGGAAAGGCTCCGACCTGAGGGTGCGCTGCGCCCGCCGGCCCCGCCCCTCCCGCCGGCCCCCGGCCTCCCAACTACCCTTCCTTCGGGTGGAGCGGGCCTGACACCCTTGCCCCATCCCCACAGAGGAGGCTGGCCCTGGCCCAGCAGTACCTGGCCCAGGCGTCCGAGGTGCTGCTGCAGTGCTTGCAGGTGGCCCTGGGCAACGGCCTCCTGGACATCGCGGCGGCCGCCAGCCTGGAGATGGTGGACTGCATCGGCACCCTGGACCCTGCTGCCACCTGCCAGTTCCTGGCGCTGTCGCAGGTGCCGCTCTGCTCTCGGCACCTTCCTAGGCCCTCTGGGGCACCTTCCTAGGCCCTCTGGGCCACCTTGGGGAGCGGAGGGAGGTCCCGAGCACCCAGTGCTCCCTCCTGCTGGCGGCCCCACCAGCTGGGCTGCGACTGGGCCTTTGCATGGAGGCTGGTGCTCACTTAGAGGAGAGGCGGCGGGCGACCGGAAGAGGGTGGGGGCTGTCCCTCCACCTGAGGTCCCCTGAGCCTCGGCCCCTCTTACCTGTGTCCTGCGGATTTAAGAGCCTTGTGCTCAGGAGCTCAGAGCGAAGCAGCATTTGCCGCGGGGGCGGGTATTGGGGGGCACAGCCACACCGAGGCAGCCAGGGAAGCGGGGTGCTGAGGGGCCATCCCAGGGGAGCCTGAGCAGCCCCGCACCCTCCTTGGTCTGTTTCAGAGCTGCTCAGCCTCAGAGATGATGCGGGGTGTCCTGCTCACGGCCACGGCCAACACCAGCAGCTCGCAGCTGGCGGCCCTGCTGCAGCTCCAGCANAGACTGAAGAACAAAACGACAGCAACTTGTCTGTTCCCCTTTCCCCAATTCCCCAGCACTGTTCCCATCCCCCCAATTTCCCAATAAAAATCTTTAAAAAAAAATGGCTAATTTTATGTTATGTCAATTTTACCTCCATTAAAAACAAAAACAAAAAAAGAAAGTTATAGGAGAAATGCCCAAATATTTGGAAAGTAAATAGCATGTATCAAGGTAACTATGGTCCAGAGGAAAAAAAACAAAAGGGAAAGTATTTTTGAACAGAAGGAAAAAAAGCACGTTAGAGATTCTGAGATGTCTCTGATGCAGCACTTAGGGGGAACGTTGTCGCGCTAATACCAGCATGAGAAAAGAAAAAGATCCCAAATCATTGACTTCAGCCTTCTTTTTAAGAAAGTAGAAAAAGAACAAATTAAACTCAAGTAGAAGAAAGGAAATTAAAGATCAGAGTGGAAATTAGTGAAGTAGAAAACAGAAAAATAAAAGAGAAAATCAATTAAGCCAAAAGCTGGTTCTTTGAAAAAATAAATAAATTGATAAACTTCTACCCAGATTGATCAGAAAAAAGAGGGCGAGGGGAGAACATGAATAACAAATATCAAAAATGTGGGACCAGCCGAGTGGCTCAGTTGGTTAAAAGCTTGCCCAAGAGTGCAACAGGGTCGCCGGTTCAATTCTCACATGGGCCAGTGAGCTGCACCCGAGCTGAGCTGCCGCTGAGCTGCCAACAGGTGGCAGGATGGCTCAGCTGGTGAGAGCACTTGCTCCTAACAACAAGGTTGCCGGCTCGACTCCCGCATGGGATGGTGAGCTATGCCCTCCCGCAACTAAGACTGAACACGGCAGTTTGAGCTGAGTGGCTGCGAGATGCCAACAGGCGGTCAGATGGCGACTGGACTTGGAGCTGAGCTAGCTGTGCCCTCCACAATGAAGACTGAAGGACAGCAACTTGGCTGTTCCCCTCCCCCATTTCCCCAATAAAATCTTAAAAAAAAAAAAAAAGAAACGAGATATATCACCAAAGATGCTACACATATTAAAGGAATAATAAGGGAGTATCAGGAACAACTTTACACTGATGTGTAATATTTGACAACTTAGGTGAAATGGAACAAATGCCTTGAAGACAAACTACCACAGATCATGCAAAAAGAAACAGATAACCTGAACAGCCCTCTACCTATTGGAAAAAGTGAATTTGTAGTTAAAAGTCTTTTTTCAATGAAAATGTCAGACCTGGTGATTTTAATGGTGAACTCTACCATCATTTAAGGAAAAAAGAAAAAAAGAATTCTGCACAAACTCTTCTAGAAAATTTAAAAGGAGGGAATACATGACAACTCTTTGAGGCTAGTGTTACCCTGATACCAAAACAAAAACTACAGACTGTTGTTCTTCATGAACGTTGATGCAAAAATTCCAAATAAAATTTTAGCAAACTAAACTCAATCATATATAAAAAGGACAATACATCAATACCAAGTTGGGGTTATCCCAGGAATAGTTTAACATTCAAAAAGCAATCAATTTGGTTCACCATATTAAAAAAAAATCCATATGATCATCTCAGTGGATGCAGGAAGAACAATTGATAAAACCCAGTAATCATTCCTGATTTTTAAAAGAAGACTCTTAGCAAACTATTAATAGAAGAGAACTTTCTCAACCTGCTACAGGGCATCTATGAAAAAAAAACAGCGCTAACACCGTACTTAATGGTGAAAGACGGAATGGTTTCCCCTTAGATAAGGACTATGATACGGGTCTGTCTTCTCACCACTTTTATTCAACATCGTATTAGCATTCTAGCCAATTTGATAAGGCAAGAAAAAGAAATTAAAAGCATCCAGATTGGAAAAAAGAAGTAAAACTGTCTTAGTTCACACGTAACACCATCGCCGGTGTAGAAAATCCTATGCAATCTACAAAAAATAATAAAAGCTACTAGTAGTAACAAGCGAGTTTAATAAAGTGGCAGGATATAAGAACAATATGCAAATATTCTATATTGCTATATACTAAGAGTGATCAATCAGATATTACACATTTTTAAGCCACCATTTATGACAACATAAAAATGATATTTGACAAAAAGTGAAAACCTGTACCCTGAACACTATAAAACATTGATGAGAAAAATTAAAGAAGCCCTAAATAAATGGAAAGCTATATCAAGTTCATGGATCAAAAGACTTGGTATCATCAAGGTGTCACTTCTCCCCTGTTATCTGCAATCCTTATCAAAATAACTGCAGGCTTTTTGATAGAAATTGACAAAATCATTTTGAAATTTATATGGAATTGCAGAACACCTAACATAGCTAATACAACTTTGAAAAAGAAAAACTAAGTTGGAAGTCCAACTCTACCTGATTTTAAGACTTATTATTAAGCCACAGGAATCAAGAGGGTGTGATTTTAATGTAGAATTGGATGCTCAGCTCAGTGGAACGTAATGGAGGGTCCAAAAGCAGACACATGCAGACCGGAACCCGATCTTCAGCAGAGGCGCAAAGGCCATCCAGTGAAGGAAAGCCTGTGTTCGGCATGATGGTGCTGGAACAGCTGGATGGCCAAACAGCAGGCTCAGCTTACGGCTACCATTCCCCCAACACCCCCGCTCCCCCGCCCCGTGAAAACAGACCCAAAGGTGAGAACTGAAACTATAAAACTTCTAGATCAGCAGTTCTCAACCTGTGGGTCGCAACCCCTTTGGGGGTCGAACGACCCTTTCACAGGGGTCACCTAAGACCATCGGAAAACAAAAGATATTTACATTATGAGTCATAACAGTAGCAAAATTACAGTTATAGAGTAGCAACGAAAATAATTTTATGGTTGGGGGTCACCACAACATGAGGAACTGTATTAAG